TGTTGATCTGAGGAGGTAGCTAAGAGTGGACAAAACAAAACCCATTTCAAACATCAAAGCATTGCTTCACATTATTCAACAGCTCCAAGTGAAAGAGAGAGGAAAAAGAGGTGTTTATTCTTGGTGTGGATGGATGTGGAAGAAGAATGCTCTCTCCTTTCATGTTTATGAGCTAGACTGAGAGCTGAAGAATCATCCTATGTTTCCCGTGAAATGCTTACCCTCAGCTTCTCCATTTCTCTTCCACGGATCAACTGAAACACGGCAACAGAATCATTGGGAGCAGAAAGGGGTTGTAGAATTTGGTGTGTATATATATATGTATAACCATGGAATTCATATACATAACAACCCAAATCATATACTGAGAAATGCAGTTCCATTTCACTTGGGGAACCGACAGAAATCGAAATTCGAGATTCAAGCACAAGGAAAATGTCTGCTAAACGTCTCTAGCCTCCACAGTTCACACATGAATAGACGTCTCCTCTAAGGTCGGTGAGTTCTCACCATTCGACCACATTTCCAAGATCGGATCGGTTCTCAGAGGAAAAACACACGGATACGGATTACCATTAACAGACGTAAAAACTTCTGAAATTGGGGACTTGCAATCGATCGAGTGGGTAAGGAGTTACCTCTTCCTGTGAAGCTGGACGAACTTCGAGTTCTTCGCGTCTTCCTCTGCATATCATCGGCGTTTAATCAATTAGGGTTTCCACAATCACCGATCCGACAACAACCACAAAACACCAGGCGAAAATAACCGACGTAAACTCGGTACAGTTCCATGAACACCGATCAGTGATAAGAAATTACTAATTAGTCGGCTTCGGAGAGAGAGATGGATCCGATTCCGACGACTTACCGGTGAGCCCAGCAGTGAATTTAGTGATGATGGCTCCAGTGATGGCGAAACCGGTGATGAACGGCCAACAACGTTTCCATTCCCTCTTGAAGAACACTGGCCATGGATCGAACAGCCTCATCTCTCTCTCTCTCTCTCTCTCTCTCTCTCTCTCTCTCTCTCTCGGTGATGCGGACGCGCTCTCCCGGGAGATTTTGTTCTCTGACTGCTCTGTATAAAAGTTGTTTTAAATTGGGCCGAAATGATCGGGCCTCACTAATAAATTCTATTAATGGGCCTTGCATAAACCTATCCCAACCCAGCCATGTGGATTAATGTAACTTAACCTCCTGATCTTAATTTTAAATTTTAATTTAACCAATTGTCATATATATATATTTTAAATAATTTTAATTTAAATTTCATGCATCCTTTGAAAGATATTGAATTATAGTAACAATCCTTTTTATAACATTAAGCCCTTTTTTTTTTTAACTATCTCGAGTTGTTTTAGTCGACAAAGCAATATTATCGAGTAATATTATTCAACAAATATATATTTGTAGCTGAAAATTATTCAACAATGTATAGAAAAAAAATTGAATCGATTGACCTTGTAACCATATTATAGTTTTATGGTTTATTCGAATTTCATTTCAGATTCGGTTAATTTATATTCAAATTCGGTTATTTTGATTCTGAAAAAACTATAATCCTTTGGATTATATATTAAATTCGATTTAATTCAATTTAGTTATATAGATTCTATTCGATTACGACAAAATATTTATTTTTAAAAGATGTTTGCGGTTATTCGGCTACTTTATTTGATAAATTCAGATACGATTTTTTTTTATAGAAAATATATAACCATCCAATTTTAATTCAACTTAGAACTCGTACCATAAATATAATCTTGGACCAATGCAAGCAGTCAGCAATCATTGGTGCACTTTACCTTCACGCGGATCGACATTATCAACCGTCGATTGTTTCACATCCAACGGTTAACACCTCACCCTTTTTTCATACTGATCGAGATCGCAGCTGTATGATAGGTATAAAACCCCATCCCACTCTGGATAAAATCCATCTGCAAAATTTCCTCAAATTCGTCGAGAAAAGCCTAATTTTCCCGAGAAAAAATGTCTGGCCGTGGAAAAGGAGGGAAGGGTCTGGGCAAGGGAGGAGCCAAGCGTCACAGAAAGGTTCTGAGAGACAACATTCAAGGAATCACAAAGCCGGCGATTCGGAGGTTGGCTCGCAGAGGTGGAGTCAAGCGTATAAGCGGTCTGATCTACGAGGAGACACGTGGAGTCCTGAAGATATTCTTGGAGAACGTCATTCGCGACGCCGTCACTTACACAGAGCACGCTCGGAGGAAGACGGTGACCGCCATGGACGTCGTTTACGCGCTCAAGAGGCAAGGCAGGACTCTGTACGGATTTGGGGGTTAGGGTTTTGAAGTTTCTAGGGTTTGTATTTTAGACTATGGAATATCTGATGCCATTCCCTCTCCTCGTTTGCCTTGGATTCTGTCTCGTCGATTAGCTTAGGATATGAAACGGATGTCAGTACCGTACGTTTTGCAAGTCATGGGTTTTGTCGATACGCATATGAAATGTGTGAGCGCGGATGTATTGTTGGATTTAGCAGTGCCCAGATCCCAGATGTTGAACAGTTTTGGTCCCCATGAATTGTTAATTTGCAAAGTTTGTAACTTTGAATCGGTTTGGGATACAAATGGAAACAGAGCTTCACTTGCTGAATCATACACTGATATTTTTTAGATATTTTCAAGGCTTCAAGAGGGCATTAGAGTCACCCTTCGAATGGACAAGTTTTATTCTTATGATTTGGCCTTTCGGCGTTCAGTTTCTGCCTTCTGGATTTGAGAATGCCGAAATAATTACTTGAAAAAGGATTGGAAAATGTTATCCTAATTTTGATTCCGATTTTTAAAATAAATATTTATATAATTTCAGAGGTATCAAACCAAATTAAATCGGTTTTGATCAAACGAAAGGGAACATTTGCGGAAACATGACACACTGCCATACATGTTTTTATCATCTCGGGCACTTTTCTTTCCGTTGTCGATGATTTTTGTTATAAACAATGTTGATTTTTTTTTTGGTTTAAGCAATGTTGAAATTGGGAGTGAAGTTAATTTAAATAATTACTTGAAAATTGTAAAAAAATAGGTGCGAAAACTTATTCCCTGAAAATTTTTGGAAGCCCAAAAAACTTGCTCCCTCTGAAATTTTCCCAATTCCGCGCTCCTTTCTTTCTCCCCGCGCACCCAATTTACAAGCGTATCTTAGGAGGCAACTCAGCTAACACAGGGATCAGTACTATCAGCCGTCCATTGGATATAATCGACGGTCAATACGTCATTTATTCCTTCACTCGGATCGTGATCTCCGGCCGTTGGATCTAATCTAAAATCCAAGGGTTCAAATTAAAACCCCCATCTTGCGTATAAATATGAATATGATCTCTCCTTTCATCGCAACCTTTAGAGTCATTCTTCTCTCTGAAACTTGTAAGCTTATTTTCTTGAGAAAATCGTAATTTTCTGGGAAAATGTCGGGTCGTGGAAAGGGAGGCAAGGGGCTGGGCAAAGGAGGAGCGAAGCGTCACAGGAAGGTTCTGAGAGATAACATCCAAGGAATCACAAAGCCTGCAATTAGGCGTTTGGCTCGTAGGGGAGGCGTGAAGCGTATCAGTGGTCTGATCTACGAGGAGACTCGTGGAGTCCTCAAGATTTTCCTGGAAAATGTCATTCGCGATGCCGTTACCTACACTGAGCACGCTCGGAGGAAGACGGTGACCGCCATGGATGTTGTGTATGCGCTCAAGAGGCAAGGAAGGACTCTTTACGGATTCGGTGGTTAGGGTTTCATCTTATTAAAATCTCGTGTTTGTTTTAGGTTTTGTCTTCTGGGTTTTGAGATCTAGCAAATTCCAATCTGGTTGCAGTTGCTGTTTGCCTTTTGATTTTGCTTTATTCTGAAAACTGGATTATAGGGATTTATCGATCTCGACGATGTTATCGTTTCTGTAACTACTCGTTTTCAAATGCCCATGTTTCCGTGTTCGCTTTTGATATAGTGCCGATGGTTCATATTCCAATTATTGGAATGGCGACATGAGATCGATAGAATCGGACAAAACCTGATTTCTTGCGTCTGAACTAATTCAGTTTCAACATTCGGTTATATCCTCCAATGTGTTTATGTAATTTATGTAATACATTTGATCAGATATCCGTTATGAATTTATGGTCAACCAATTTTCATGAAAAGATTTTATTTATTTGTTAGTCATATGTCAAACAATGCCATTATCTCTTGATTCCAGGGAATCACGAGTCTCGCTTTCCAATTGGATTTATTGCTAGCGTGAGATTTTATTGCCTTGCATCTCTCTTTGACATTTTCTCTCTCGTCAGACCCATTATTCTCAGTACCCCAAACGCAGACATATACACAAACAAATAAGTACATGCAAGTGTATGCATACAATCAGAAACGAATTTAAGCCCAACACAGATTTCACAAGTGCCCTGAAAATTTTGACAATGGCATCAAAATGCGTAGATGACTTTGTGAATATAAACAACGTCGTCGTGTGCATCCCACGACGTACGCGACCCTTCACAAGTGGCCGATTGCCGATGCCGGGTTTGTACGATCCATCACCCGCGGTGGAAGCCAACTCTGTGCGGTGGTCGACGACATATTTTGTCGACAAATGTATCTCAGGAGCTACATTTTCTCGTGAAAAGAAGAACCCAATGTCGGCAATGGTGACGTGACTGACCGGAGAAAATGGAGGAAGGGCAAAACGACGTGGTAACGGATGTAAGAAAGTGGATGTCTTGTGGCACCACCACTAAGGTTGATGATGCTGATCTGTTGATTATTAGCGATGAGATTAATAATTTCTAAAATGGAAAATTTACTACTTTTTTTCTAATGTTAATATCTGTGTTTGTCTGTAATCATCTTTTTTCATTGATTCTAAATAAAATCACTCTCAGTACTATCTTCTTATGCTGGGGAATTAGATTGCACTGGATAATGCCAGTCTGGAAGAACAGAAATTGGGCTTGGTCAAGACAAGAAATAGATGATGAGACCAAAGATTTGGAGTTCTACAACTCGACACCGGTTTGGCTAAAATGAAACAAACTGATGTCTGTAAGGATGAAAACATAATCCAGTTTTTGAATGTGGGTGTCTTCGAAGATATGTGATTTTTGAGAATCCAATGTTTCTAAAAAAATGTACAGGAACAACGTGAAAATCCCATTTCTTGTTTCTAAAAATATAAAGCTCAAATCTTTTTGTTTTTGTGGGCATTTCCCAGCTTTCAGAATCTATCTTCCTTCAGATTTCACCAGCTGCGAGAAAACCTTACTCATGGAGACACCCGAGATATCGTCCATGTTCGACTCCTCGAACTGCCCTTCCGCCTGAACATTAGAGCTTGTGTCTCCGTGTCTGAAATTGTTGATCTGAGGAGGTAGCTCTCCGATCATGTTCGTACTGTTGTCTTCCTCAGGATCACCGTCCATGGCCGCTTCCTGTAGCTGCAAAGCATATTCCAGATTCCACAACACATCTCCCATGGATGGCCTGTCCACTCCGAAGTCAGCCAAGCATTTCTCTGCAGTTTCCCCGAACTTCCTTAGCGAATCTGGCTTGATCTTCCCGTGAAGAGCCTGATCAATAATCTGTTCCAACTGTCCCTTCATCTTCCATTTCATTCCCCACTCTGCAAGATTCACCATTTCTCTCGGAAGTGTCGGGTCTATCACTGGTCTCGCGCACAGAACCTCGAACAGAACAACCCCGAATGAATACACATCCGATTTCTCAGTGAGCTGTTGCCTTCGGAAATACTCCGGGTCGAGATATCCGAAACTTCCCTTCACAGCCGTACTCACGTGGGTCTGATCGATCTCGGGTCCAGTCTTTGACAGTCCAAAGTCTGCAACTTTAGCCATGAGACTCTCATCGAGCAATATGTTTGCGGATTTCACGTCTCGGTGAATGACAGCTTTTGAATAACCGGTGTGAAGGTAATGTAGCCCTCTAGCTGCTCCGATGCATATCTCAAGCCTCTGCTTCCACGTCAAGCTAGGAAGGCCCGAGCCGTAAAGATGACTCTTTAATGTTCCGTTCTCCATGTACTCGTAAATCAGTATCATCTCGTTGTTCTCGTCACAGTAACCAATTAGGGAAACCAGATGGCGGTGGCGAAACTGTGACAGCATCTCGATTTCTGTCCTGAACTCTGCAAGTCCTTGCTGAGACTTGGGGTTTCCTCTTTTAGCAGCAACTTTCGTGCCGTCGCTTAGCTCTCCCTTGTAAACTTTCCCAAAACCACCAATCCCGATAACTCGATTCTCATCAAAGCTATTCGTGGCCTCTTTAACGGCTGCAAAGGGTATACGATAACCTACATTGGAAGTTATACTCGCGAGTGTAGTTCCATTTGAGTATCCACTTCCCATTGTACCTGAAGTTGCATTGGTAGACAGAGGAATCCATGTCTTCGAGTGAGCATCTTGGCCATGGCTCCGTTTCCTGTACAACACAAAGAAAGCTCCTAAAACCAGTAATGCAAGCAAAGGGCCAACCGTTGCACCGACGATTAGACCGGGATTTTTCTTAGTTCTTGAACTTCCGGGCACAAATTTCCCGCCACTGAGCTGACCTAATGAGTTATTCATCTTCATGATCTCTAATCCATTCATGATTGCGTTCGGGTAATCAGTGTGAGCAATTGATGGTCCGATGCTCACACGAAGCTTATCAGTATCCTTTGGGGACTGTGTCACGTAATCCATGAAGTATGCTCCGGCCAGATTGTTGGCCAAATATGTGCTGAGATCAAGATCCTCGACAACAGTCTTGGAGTCAACGTAAAGATTGAAATAGAGCTGGTTCAGAGATAAACTCACGATATCGCAGAAATGGAAACGGAGGAAGTACTGAAAACCCGGGTCGACATCGAATACCCAAGTAATGTTGAAATTGCTACCCGGGTCACCTCCCGAGTTCATCTCGGTGCAAGTTCCATAGACAAATCTTGGTGCAGTATCTTCTGTTGCATAACCAGTGAGATATTTAACAGAGTTGATCTTAGATACACTCTTGGCAAGATTCTTCCCGAGGATAAAACCCGAATCAGAAACCCAAGTTCTTGAAAGGGTATCGTTATTAGGCGTAACGAGAGGTCCACCCATGTTAACTCTAGCAACTGTCTCAAGAACCTGCCATGTCAAGCCCTGAAACCTCCCTGGACTTCCTATGAACAAAGCATCATCAGTGATCAATGTGTCTGGAGCAGAGACAACCTCTATGCCGTTCACAAAGGCGAACGAATTCCCCGAGGGAGTAAACGTGAGGACGAGATCATCAGTGGTGACATTCAAAGAGTATTCCTTCACAACTCTGGACTTCACTGTGAAATCAACGAGAAGAACATGCTTTCCTGAAGAAACAGAGAACTTGGCAGAACCCATTTGGAAGTTCTGGTAATTGAATGGATTGAAATGGAGCCGAATCCAGTGCCGGCCTCTACTGACGGGGAAAGTGTACTTGGATACTTCTGTGAACACTCTCGCTGTCTGGTCAATGTCGGAATCGGAATTGCCCGAGTTGCTGCTACTTGCAAGGATTTCTTGAGGACTGGTAAGGAGCTTCGAGGCTAGCTTATCAGACATGAAGACTCGACCAAGAACCGTGGCATTGCTGGGTGATCCACAGTTGATGAGGTAATTATCCAGAGGTATGAATCCATGGCAGATGCAAATCAAGCAAGAAACCGAAGAAATCAAGACGAAAAATCCGAACTTTTCACCACCCATCTGGACAAAAGCTGGAAATTTACAAGAAAACAAGAGAAATTTGTAGAAAAAAAGACTCAATCAGTCAAGATTTAATGGTAAGGCGTCAGCAAAACTAGGGTTTACCGAGTAAACAAAAAGGAACCAGGACCAAAAAAAAAAGAAAAGAAAGAAACGGAAACCTTTCTAAGATCAAGCGAAGAGCTAAAATGACCAAAAAAACAAAACAAGACAACTAACCGATAAATTAAGAAACGAAACAATAAATGTCACCTTTAAGACAAGAAATCCATGAAAGGTAACTGTACTCCAAGGTTTAAGAAAAGGTACCAAATTTCAAGAACAGTTGATGAGCCCACAAACAAAAACAAAAAAAGAACTGAACTCCAAGATTTTGATTGTATTGTTCCCCCCTGATAGATCAAATCTGTATTTGGAACTAAACAGATCCAGCAAAGAACAGACTGGTTACAGGAGATGATGAGTTCCAGTTCCTTATGAACTCTGCAAAAACGAAGAGGCAATATTTTAATGCTTGCCCTATACATACACAACCTACGCATCTATGTCTACATCTATATATATATATATATAGGTTATAGAACGGAGCAGAAGCAATACCTATGAAAACGGCCGGTCTAGGCAAGAATAGGAAAAAATAATTTAAAAAAATGGGTAGAGAGATTTGGAGTAAATAGGGATTGATTTTCCCAGATTTCAAATGGTTTCTGATGGATGAGAGAGAAACAGAGAAGAGAAAAGTGGAAGAAGAAGAAGAAGAAGAAATTACCGGAAAAAAAAATCGGAATGGTAACATACCGAATGAATGTAACATTTCGTTACTCATTATTGCCTTTTTTTATATGCCAAACTATTTTTCCCAAATGGTTAATATCGATTTTCGAAACGAAATAAATATGCTTCATTACCATATATATATATATATAGTTATATGTATAAATTATGTCCACTGGCTATTTTTTTTTTGTGCGTGTGTATCCAAGTTGGGCTTTTACAGAAATGATAACGCTCTTTAACCACCCCATCCATCGTCAGCTTTACGGGAAACTAACATATGTATTATATTTTATTAAAATATAATATAATTATTTAATGCTAACTAAACGACAACTGGAGTCTCGCCGCTGAATATTAATATTACATATTTGGAAGAGTTGGCAGTTAGCGGTATATATATAAATTATAATCTATCAAATAATAAAATCTGGAAACCGTGTGAAAACTATGATCGTCACCGCCTTGTAATATATATTTAAAAATTTATTATCTTTAATTTTATGGCCGATTTTTTGGGCCTATACATATATATCGATAAGCCCAAACAATTGGCATCGCATTTAATTGGGCCTCATTGGATATCGGCCCGATGGCAGGCCTTTGCTCTTCTAGCTTTGGACAAAACCACCGCAGCGTTTTCAGATCCTAAACTCGCACAGCCTGCCGTTTGTCCTTCTCTCCCGCCTCATCGTCTCCCGTCCCGTTTACGTGATTTATTTATTTTAGTTCACTAATTTTTCTTTAACTCACAAAAATAAAAGAGATGTCTGATTCTCACACGAATAATTTGCATGTATATATACACACACATATATATATATATATGTATAAGATATCAGTTATAGGATAAATTACATATATATATATATATATATATAATCCATCCTCCATAAAATGCGGAGAAAACGGAGCACACGAAATTTGACCAATATATATATATATATATATATATACGGTGGCAGTGCACATGTAAAGAGATAATCATAATGGACCAGAGCCGTTGACATAATAAAGCTGCGCCGAATAATTCCGAAGACTTTGACTTTTGACAAAATCTTCCAATTGTAATTGTGAACCAAAACATGTACAGCCCATCACATTATATTAACTAACATTTAATGAAATTACAGATAATAACTACAAGTTGACATATCAGTCAAAGTCAATTTGTTTTTCACACGATTTGCTTGGAATTACAATAAACTTCGAGTGGATCAACTAATAATTAAGACCATGGATTCTGTCTACAATGAATAGTTGTGAACATTTAATTTCTATTATGAAATGCCAGACACACCCGCCTATATATATATATATATACACATGATATAAATTAAGGCCCAAAAATAAATAATTCAAAAGGAAATTCGCTTCCCCATTCAGAACCTCCCCTTTAGAGTACCTAAGAGAACAAAATTATTAATAAATACGCGTATAAAGTTATTAAAAAAATGCAACTATGCAAGTGTATGCATGCACGATATATATACACACACATATATAAATTCATGCGCGTGTATATATGTAGATAACAATCGCAAATCAACTAACGATGATCAGACAGTTCACAACCATGGCTGCTTCAACTCGGCTTCTTCTTCTTCTCCTTGTTCTTCTACTCTCTCTTTCCGCCATTTCTCTCGCGGACAGTGAGTAATCACAAGCTATAATCATTAATATCTATTTATCTTACGTTTATTGTAATCAAATCTCTCATATATAGTTTCTGAAATTCCCTTTTGATAATTAATCTTCACTAACTTTGGAGATTTCAGACATAAGCATCGACTGTGGAACCACCGGTTCATACGTGGACGACAATAACGTTACATGGGTCGGCGACCAAGGCTTCATCACCGCCGGCCAGACTGCCAAGGTTCCGGATTCCATAACGGACACCGTTTCCAAAGCCCTAACCACTTTACGGTACTTTCCGACCGGTCAATCCAACTGTTACTCCAACGTTCCGGTCAAAACCGGCGGGAAAATCCTCGTGAGGACGACGTTCTACTACAGTAACTACGACGGAAAGTTCTCCTCGCCGACTTTCGACGTCGTCTACGCCGAAAAACACCGCGACACGGTCACCACTTCGTTGATTGACGGGGACTACACTTTCTCGGAGGTTATATTTGTCCCCGACAGCGGGAACATCAGTGTCTGTCTTGTCCGTACATCTCAGGCGGACAACCCTTTCATATCCGCCATTGAAGTTGTGAGCTTGGACGCTGGCATGTACAGTGATCTTGGTACGGACGAAGGTTTCATTGTCCGACAAAGATTCGCGTATGGCGCTAAAGGACTTATAAGGTACATTTACCATATGAAAAAAAGTGTAAATAATTCCTTACTATTTAGATTTATATAACACATAAATCTGCAATTTATATAACACATAATCAAAACTTCTGAACCAGAATACCTTGGTTGATGTCTACATGTTAAGCCGAGCCATGCATGATCCTTTTGTTCTGTTCTTGCAGTTTTGTTCTGTTCGATTTTGATTCGGATAGCATTTTTTCCGGTTTCTTGCAATTTTCCGGTCTGATTCGTCTCCGTTTTGATTTACGATAACATTTAATTCCCCTTCTTGCAATTGTTTTTCAGCTATCCATTGGATCCTTACAGTAGACTATGGGTTGCACCACCGTCCAACTTTTTAATTACCGAGCTCTCGACCACCGCAGCATCGATAGACACATCCACGGCCAAGAACAAGCCGCCGGAGATTGTTATGGGGACAGCTTGGTCGGCCGATGGCCTAACACTCTCCGACGACACTCTCCCCAGCGCCGGAATTCCGGTGTACCTAGCGATGTACTTCTCCGAGACCCAGAATCTTGGTCCGAACGAGAAACGATCGTTCAACATTTACGCCGACGACAAGCAAGTGGGTTCGGGCCCGGTCGTGCCTGTGTTCGGGAAAGCGACGCAAGTGGTCGTGAGAGGCGTAGTGCTTAGCTCGGCTTCTCAGCTCGTGTTTCGATCCACCGGTGACTCGACTCTGCCGCCTCTCATCAATGCCTTGGAGTACTATTCAATAAGTGGCAGCCAAAGTGGAGGAGGAGGAGGAGGAGGAGGATCGGGCACAGATGGAGGCGCAGGGCAAAAAGGTGGATCTGAAGGTTTGTTATTATATATTATTATAAAGATATATATTATCGTAATTAAATATATATAGAGAGAGTTTTATTCAAGGAATAACCCAGATCTTACAAAAAAATTCGATGGCATAAAGTATATATTAACCTAGTATAACCGATGGCGACGATATGTGACCTTTCTGTCACGATCATATTAGTTGAACTATTCTATGTGCGATATATAATTTTTTTTATATAAATCTTCAAACTCTTTCTTTGTTGATCTAAATTAAGGTTCGAGTGGCACGAACAAAGGAAGCAGAGCAGGAGGAAACAATATAGTGGGAGGTTTGTGGTCATCCATTTTCTCAAGATTCTGTGATATAATTCGTTCGGACATATTAATGGAAAAAACGTTGTTGAAAAGTATACATACATCTTTAATAAGATCATATCCATGTATGTATAGGTGGGTCGAGCAATGGACCGACCAAGAAGAAGAAGAACAATGCAGGCCTCGTAGCGGGGGTTACACTCGGATCGGTGTTTGCTCTTCTCTCGGCTTTGTTTGGGTTTTTCTTCGTAAAGAAACGTAAACCAACGCCGAGGCCACAACAACCTGCGGTCGCAGTTCCAGTCGCAGGTAAACCACGTTTTGCAAAATCTTGATTAATAAATAAAAATGTTTTATCCAATATTCCATTCGGTCCAATATTCGATATTGTAATTAGGGTTTGGAATAATACAAATATAAATGAAATTGATGTTTTATTGGCAGGTGGAGGGACAGGAGCAACTCCTCTAGTTGGGCAAGGGGGATTGCAAAACGGCGGTAACCATCCGACGAACGAGGTCGACATGAACGACATCGAGGACCTGATCGGTGCGAACTATTCGTACGTGGCGAACGATGATCTCCGTCACCCGGGATAGCCAATCTCGTTTATGCGTAATTGCATGCATCATGCATGCATGAATTCTAGTATTTTGCTTTTATGTTTTTTTTTTCCCTTCATGACATGATTGTAATATCATGTCTGATTAAATTAATTTGATCGATTGATATGAGGTCCAAAAAGTAATTGAGGTTATATCTAATAGAAAATGAAACACCGGACACCTTAAAACAAAAAAAAAATTTCGTATAAGAATATACATATATATATAATATATAATTGGAATACAATAAGAAGAAAAATTAATTTCGATATATCATCCTCGTCTTGATCTACCATTTTCGTAATAAATGTAAATAATTATTAGTCAGCGGCGATAAGTTTATGTTTTAACTGTTCTAATGGACAGCAAAAAATTGCCATTGACTAAATGATTAAATTCGGCGTCTCCCTTGCAAAATCCGTTGACTTAGAAAAAAATATATATATCAATAGGGTTATCTAAATAAATACTGATAAATAAAACAAGTGGAGATATATATGCCAACTAAAATATATAGTGTTTAATTTATGTAGTATAATATACCAACTAAAATGAGTTTTTAATTGCTATTATAAACCATCACTTACCAACACATAGTTTCTATAAATTAAAATACAATAAAACCGGAATATACCCTCAAATATTACATATCGATGAAGTCCACGGTATCAATTGTATTGTGGCTCCAAATGCACCACTGTCCTGCCGCGTGTATATATATATATATATATGGTCCACTTGCTAATCCCTCTCCACGTTGGAGGAAAATGAGTCATACATTTAACAAGTGTATAAATGTTTATGGTAATCCAGGGATTACACAATGTTGTAATAGTAAAATTAATTTTAAACGTGTTTACGACATGAGATAACAAAATTCAAAGTACAAAACAGTATAATATTTTATATATAGATTGAATGATTTTTTAGTTATAATTTGAAAAGAAGATATAACGTTGCAGATAATTAACATCTGCATAAAAATTATTGATTAGCGAGAGAATTACGGTTTCACATTTCACAAACGACAAAACGTGAAAGCCTATTACCCACCATCTAATTTTATAACGCATTTTCTGTTATTATTATTCTTTAAATTCTGATACATTATATATACACACACATATACATACACATGCGCACACACAATAATTTCAATTGCCTGGATGTCTAGAGCATGTTACAATAGAAATATATATAGTTTGAACGAATCGCGGAACAATAGAAAGGTCTAATTAAGGAATGTACAAATTCCCAAATGGCAATAAATATATCAATCAACAGTACATATATATATATATATATACACACAAGTTCATGCGTGTAGTACGCAAATGGTGTCGGAGAAGAATCGGCCATGGCTGCTTACACTTTTCTTCTTCTCCTACTCTCAATATCCACCACCATCATCATCATCATCATCATCATCCCATCTCTCGCCGATAGTGAGTAGTTACAAATTACATTATTATTAATCACACATTTACATTTAACGTAACACATTTTTCGATTTCACAAAACAAAGCTTTTATTTCTTCATTACCATGACGTACGTATACGTACTTATGCATGAACATGAATATTTTTTTGGTGAAAACATGAATATTTCCTTCAGACATAAGCATCGACTGTGGAACATCAGGCTCCTATGTAGACGACAACGGCGTAAAATGGGTCGGGGACAAAGGCTTCATCTCGACCGGCGACTCTTTCAAGGTTTCCGCCACCGTCTCGAAAAGTACACTCAGCACTCTCCGACCGGAGAAAGCAACTGTTACTCCGACATTCTGGTCAAAAAAGGCGCGAAAATCCTCATGAGAACGACGTTCTTCTACGGCAACTACGACGGCCTATTCTTGTCGCCGACATTCGACGTTGTTTACGGCGGAAAACACCGAGTCACCATCGTAATATCTTTGTTTCTCGAGAATTACTACTTCTCGGAGGTTATATTTGTTCCGGAAAACACCGAGACATTCGAGCGTTTGTCTTGTTCGCACGTCTCCCATTCTAAATCCTTTTATATCGTCTATCGAAGTTATAGGCCTGGATGACGACATGCACGGCGATCTTGGTCCGAACAAGGGATTGATCCTCAAACGAAGATTTGCGTACGGTGCCAATGTTCTTGTAAGGTATGCATACTAGGACTACTTCTTCAATCGAAATTAATGTACGTATTAATGGATCGGTGAATGTTATTATCCCTTTGATATTCTTTTTTCAAAAACAGTTTTTTTTTTATGTTAGATTGTTTTCAATAACCTAAATGACCAACGCTACATCACATTTTAGACATGTATAATAATTTTTTTTAATTAGATTTATTTTATATGATCTATTAAAAATGTAAAACAAAATGATTATATGTAGATACCATTTTTGTATTTTTTCCATTTTAACCACGGGCGGAATTTGATTTTTTTTTTTGGTAAACGGTAAATTCTATTAAATACAACTGTTGAGATACAACGAAGAGACTTTAAGTTACATCAGCCTAATAAGCCAAAAGTTCAGGAGCCAAACATCATAAAGGATCAAAGTTACGGAACCAAAAAGACATGATAGTATCCCCTGCAGCGGGAGGTGATAAATCGGCCTAAACCGAGGAAAGCTTCCGTCGAGTGAACCGAATAACGTCCTTACGAGTCACCTCAGCTGGCCGAGACTCAGATCGGTGGATTCTCGAGTTCCTTTCCGTCCATATCATGTATATAGATGTCTGGAAAAGAAGTAAAATCATATACTTGACAGACCTTGGACATACACAAGAGTTCAACCACAACAGAGTTTCCTCCAAGCAATGGTGCCCCGACGTAGAGAACGACGAGTGATTCAAAACACCTGGCCATATATGGTCAGAGTAGGAGCATCGAAAGAAAAGATGAGAAACAGTTTCATCCTCGTCACCACATAAGGCGCAATAAGTCGGTGTGTTAATCCCCCAAGCATTCATCCTATCACGTGTTGGGATCCTGTTCCTAACCACAAGCCATGTCATGAAGGAATGTTTAGGGACAGAACGAGCAAACCAGACTACATTCTTCCACGGAACACGGGGTGGCGCCGGGTAAAGTGTCAACCATGTAGACTTCGTGGAAAACGGCGGTAGTTGAGAGTCCAGTTGCATTCCCGACCAATAGAACCGATCAGGGCTGCTACTATCTCTCGGAAGAGGGTGAGCAATAAGGGCTTGGTGAATAGATACAGCAACGTCCGATCGCGCCGGGTGGAGGAGCCAACCATCGGACGAGGTCGCCTCTGCAACCGTCGAAGCCAGAGGAACGCCAAGCAATCTAGGGCCCATTGAACTTGTCACCAAGATAAGGGAACCAAGAGGAAGCCATGAGTCATACCAAAACATACATGTTTCCCCGATCGCGCCGGGTGGAGGAGCCAACCATCGGACGAGGTCGCCTCTGCAACCGTCGAAGCCAGAGGAACGCCAAGCAATCTAGGGCCCATTGAACTTGTCACCAAGATAAGGGAACCAAGAGGAAGCCATGAGTCATACCAAAACATACATGTTTCCCCATTGCCCACCCGACAACGAAGAAGAGATCTGGTTGTTTGCCGAAGCTTCAGCAGCTTGTGCCATGCCCAACTTCCCTTCCCACGTTCTCGGAGCGACCAGAAATGCTTCCCACGGATGAAATATTTTTTTTTCTTTTTTTTCTTTTTCTTTTTTCATTTTGGGTTATATTCTTTAGACCACGCAACTATTTTCAAATTTATTAGTCTCATTTTTGTGAGATCCACAATTTTACATTTACGTGTTGATCTAGTTGACATAATCCGGTTACGTTTCTGAAACGACGGAATCCATTATGAAAATGGAGACAGATATATAATCTTTACGGTTTATTTGACTCGCTCTTGAATCAAGAGCATGTTAAATTCAGAATTTCAATGTTTTTTACACTTTAATCTTGGTGATATATTATATAATTTATTGGATAAATTCAAGTTTTGGTTTGGTAGGTTCGGTCTTGATCCGGTTTACTGAATTTCATCTAACCTCAAAAACCGCATATTTCTTCAGCTACCCTTCGGACCCTTACGGCTTACAGTATGATATGGCTCATACCACCTTGGGACTTCTCGTTAGCCGTACTAACGAGTACGACCTCAACGATAGACGTGTCAGGTGCACCGAACAAGCCACCAGAGATAGTTCTAAGGACGGGTTGGTCCGCCAAATACATAAAACTCGTCGACCCGACTCTGCCACTAAGGGGAATACCTGTTTACTTGGACATATATTTCTCGGAGCCACGGAGCATAGGACAGTCACTGAAACGTTCGTTCAACATTTTATTCGGCGGCAAGCAAGTGGGTTTAGGTCCAGTCAAACCGGAGTTCGGGAAAGCAACGCAGGTGGTCGTGAGAGACGTGTTGGCTAGTTCAAATACTGAGCTCTTGCTCGAGTCAAATGCCGGTTCGAGTTTGCCTCCATTCATCAATGCTTTGGAGCTCTATGCCATAAGCGATTCTACTTCAAGCGGCGGAGGAGGAGGCAAGAATAACGACGGATCTGAAGGTTTGTTTTGGACAATTATTCGTATATTAAATTTAAAAAATATCAGAAATTTTTTGAATTTGTAATTTGGTGCAATATTAATTACTGATTTTGCAGAGGTGACAATTAATTTCCAAACTTGCAAAATTGAACATGCTAATTACTAAACTTGTTAAACAGTTTTATAATCGTCATCAGCGTTAATTGGACAAAAAAAATACGTTGACCGATCCGACGTAGCGCGTGACGTGTCGAACCAACTCAGAAAATTGATTTCATGTATGCAATTCCTGGTTTTTCAATAACATGGGAGTTGGGTCTTAAGGCTCATTGGCGGAGAAATAGAATCCTCTCCTTGAGAAGGAGGCTTCGGTCTCTTATTCAAAACGAGGCGTTTTGTGATTTAGGGTTAATACCCTATTTGGTGTTATTCGACGATGCACGGTGCTCGAGGGAGATAAAGGGAGATGCGATCGCAGAGGCGATCGTGAGGGAGAAAGAAAGAGATCTCGGAGATGGAGGAGCCTCGGCGACGCCGGAGCTCGGAGACGGCCAAGGAGAGAGGTGAGATTGAAGGTCTTGGTAAGAGCCTTCTGGTTCTCAGTTGTTGTTGGGTCACACGGGATTAGGGATGTCAAAAGGAGCCGAACTCGTGAGCCGGCTCCCGGTTAGCTCCTTTATGACCGAGCCGAGCCAAAGAAATTTGAACCCGAATAATAAACGAGCTGAACGAGCCGGCTCGTGACGAGCCGAGCCTAGACGAGCTGGCTCGGGCCGCTCACGAGCTAGCTCGTGATCTCAAAAAAAAAAAATTAGGGTTTTAGATTTTAACCTCTTTTGTTATGTTTGCCCGCTTCCTCCCTCCTCTCTCTCTCAGTTTCGCAGACTTTTTTTTTTCTTGCTTCTCTCTCACTCTCAATCTCGGATTCTCGCCGGTTGCTGCTCGCCGAGATCGCTGTCACCAGTCTCGGTCTCGATCCTGCCTCTCTCTCTCGGTCTCGCTCACTCTCGGACTCTCGGACTGTCGAGATCTGTCTCTCGCTCCCCCCTCTCGGTCTCGCTCACTCCCGAACTGTCGAGCTCTCGCCTCTCTCGACCCATCGAGCTCTGCCAGTCTCTTTCGCCAGCGATTTCGACTCGCTCAGGTCCGACTCATACTCTCTCTTTCACCATCGATTTTGATTGTCTCTCGAATGTTTCTGTTAGTTCATAATTCATGTTTGTTTGTTGTTCTGTCTTGAATGTTTCTGCTTCTTTTCATGATTCATCGATTGCGTCTATCTTGAGTGTGTATGTTGATATATTGTATGTTTATAATCTGTGTACAATATTTACAATCTGTATGTGTATGTTCATATAATGTATGCATATAATCTGTAACGTATGGATTTATTATTGCAGATGGATTCAAGGGAAGATTTGGATGGAAGTAAAGAGATGGATACAACACAACAAGAAGAGACTCAGAATACGGTAATTGGGGATAGTCAAGCAACTGTAAGTTCTAGAAAGAGGCGAAGAAAATTAACATCTGAAGTGTGGAATCATTTTACAAGGATTAGTGAAACACAGGTTCAATGTGATCATTGCAAACAAACATATACCCAGAGGCATGATGCACATGGAACTTCTACTATGAAAAGACATGTAGAGCATTTATGTCGTAAGAAGCCGTTGTGTTTGGATTTGAGGTCTGTGATTAGGGATGCCGAGGGAAATGTTAGAATAACGAAGAAGTGGAATCAGAAAATAGCCGAGGAAAAGTTAACAAAGTTCATCGTAACTCATGACCTTCCTTTTACTTTTGTGGAGTATGATGGTTTAAGAGATTGGATCAACTATATGGTTCCCGATTTTAAGTTTTGTGGTAGAAATACTATGGCTACTCGGGTTGAACAATTGTATTTAGATGGCAAAGAAAGAATGAAATCTGATTTGGAAAAGATTCCAAGTAGGATATCTTTGACCTCGGATTGTTGGACGGGCATCGATACTGTAGGATATATATGTTTGACGGCTCATTATGTTGATGAAGATTGGAAGTTGACCAGCAAGATTTTGTCTTTCATAGATTTGCCTCATCCACATACCGGTGAAGCGTTAGCTACTAAGATTCATGATTTACTGAAGGAATGGGGGATAGAGAAGAAGATTTTCACCATTACGTTAGATAATGCTTCGGCAAATGATTGTTGCCAAGAGATTTTGAAAGAGAGGCTTTGCTTAGATAACAATTTATTGTGTGATGGTGAATTCTTCCACATAAGATGCTGTGCACATATACTTAATCTCATTGTGCAAGATGGTTTAAAGACACTTGGTGATGCTGTATCTAAAATTAGAGATAGTGTAAGGTATGTGAAAGCTTCAAAAGGAAGGATGGATGTTTTTGAGAGTTGCATAGAAGGTGGTGGTAGTGCTGTCTTGACTACGGATGTACCTACTAGATGGAACTCTGCGTTTATTATGCTTGAGAAGGCATTAAAGTATCAACGAGCCTTTGCTAGATTGAAAGTGATTGATAAAGGTTATAAGCATTGTCCTTCGAGTGAAGAATGGGGTAGAGCGGAAAGAATATGTGAGCTACTACAGCCTTTTTACAAGATCACGGTCTTGATGTCTGGTTCAA